TCAGAATCCATTCAAGATTCCTTGATTATTCTTTTGCCAATCACTGGCTCTTCCAGGGCCACTATATTTGGCCTCATCTGTTTGAACATCTCAGTGAGTGCGTCCACTGAGAATGGTTCTTCGCTTTGCGTGACAACTTGAGTTTCTTCCCTGTCTTGTACTACTCTGACAGGCCCATAGTTTCTTTCGTACATGAATTTTTCCACCGAGTTCGCTTCCGCGACAAAAGGCCTATGATCGGCCTGTACCACCTCTGCTTTGCCTTTGTCATTCCAAAAAATCAGGCATTGATGTTTGTACTACTCTGACAGGCCCATAGTTTCTTTCGTACATGAATTTTTCCCCGTCTTGTACTACTCTGACAGGCCCATAGTTTCTTTCGTACATGAATTTTTCCACCGAGTTCGCTTCCGCGACAAAAGGCCTATGATCGGCCTGTACCACCTCTGCTTTGCCTTTGTCATTCCAAAAAATCAGGCATTGATGGAGCGACGAGGGTATACAGCGGCTTCCGTGTATCCAATCTCTTCCTAAGAGCACATTGGGAATCATATCACCCTCTGTCTTTGCGAACTTTCTCATCATCCTGGATGGAATGGTGTTTATAACCGCTCCATTATCGACAAGCACCTTTGCCACTGGGACGCCGTTAACTAGAGCTTTAACGTATAATGGCCTCAGGTGTTTTGTCAATTTCATGGCTGGCCGTTTAAAAACAACCTTTTCGGCAGCCTCTATTTCTACCTCTTGCTTGTTTTCTGTCGAATTATCCCGTTGTGATAGGTCGACGTGCAGTATGTCACGCTGATCCTCTGTCTCCTGAATTTCCTTCTTACTTTTTTCTAATGCTTCCTCATCAGTTATCCAACCTGTGGGGAGGGGCATTATTTTTGGAGGTGACCCATACTTCTCAGAGCGAGGCACTCTCTTTTTCCTTTTGGGTGTCCCGTACAGTACGTAGAAATCGAAAGGACGCCCGGATGGCTCCCCCAACAAGTCTACTTCGTGGACTCCCACTTGATGTAGTTGCTTAAACAAAGTATTGCGCGATACTCCTCTCTTTTTCCTTTCTGCTTCTAGGTCGATTTCTTCTTCAATGTCTGTCATCCCATCGTCCTCTTCATCGTTGTAGGCCTCTCCAGAAGTCTGGCCTTCTTCACATACCAGCACGCAGGCTTCTCCTTCGTTGTCCTCCCTCTCTTCTTCCTTTTCCTTATTCTTGAATTTATTGGCCAGTAGGTAATTATTGGCCATGACAGGAGGCAACGTACCGAATTGGATAGCAAGGGGCTGATCTGGATCTTCTTCATCCTTTTTGTCCCTCTCAAACCTTGATCTCCCAGAAGAGGTTTCTGGCAGTTCCTTCATTGATTCATCTGTATCAGTTTCTTTACTACCTTTGAGGACGTTTTGATTGGCTACCTTGAGTATTAGAGGCGCTTTAGGATGTGGCATTCCTTGTTGCTGCCTCATCATCCGTCCATAGTTTCGCTGGAAACGCCTTTGTTGGGTCCTAGTCATCTCATCGAAGGGTATTGTCCTTCCTGCGCTGTACTGGAATGAATGCCATACATTTGGCCGGCGAGGTTGCGACCTAAATGTTCTTCCAGTATCTGCTGGTCTGAACTGCCTTTCAAAAGGCGGTCCTCTATAGAATGATGTACCTCGCCCTCTACCAGGCTGAATGTTTGGGAAGAAGGCAGGGCGATGAGGATGCTGCCATGTCCCTGGTTTCTCCGTGTCTCCATTTACTTCCCTTTTACACCTTGCACACATGACGTTTTCGTCCTTTTTTGGTTCTTTCCCTTTGATTCGTTCGAAGACACTGGGATGTGTTTTAGTATCCTCTTCTCCGTCAACTATGACCAACTTGAATTTTGACAACTTGTTCTTGAATCCAGACGTTACCATGTTTACCCCAAGTGGCTGTGGGAAAGGATTCTCGTCCACTGCCATCTTTTTCTTATCATCGAACGTAATTCGTCCCGATTCAATAGCATCCTGCAATACGTGACGGAAAACCAAGCAATTGTTAGTCAAATGTGACCATGCATTATGCCACTTACAATATTTTTTTACCCTTTATTTGTTCAGGGTTTGGCAATTTGTGCTTATCGCTCAGCTTTATTTGCTTATCCCTATATAATTTATCGAATATAAGGTCAGCTTTGGTCACATCGAACGAGAACGTTCTAGCCTTTATGTTTCCATCCTTTATGGACTCATCTTTGCCCGATGGTCTAGGCTTGGCCATTATGGGACAAGTATATGTATCCCCTTTTACCAATTCGGCCAAACACATTTCGGCTTGATCGTATGATTCGTCATCGATGGTATGAACGTCAAAATTTGGGTCTCTGTAATAAGTCCCTTTACTAGAATTTTTCATTTGTTCTTCTTCTCTTATCAGTCGTTCATACCTAATCACATTCGCACTCAACTGGAAAAGGTCAGGAAATTCCTTGTCCTGGAACTTCTTTTTTAAATCAAAGCTCAAACAGCCTTGTGCGATCTTGACAAATTCTTTTTCGGGCAGAGGTACAAAACACTTGCTTCTTGCTGTTTTGAACCTTTGGAGAAAACTTTCCGCCCATTCATTTGGCATTTGACATAGATTCGCCAAATCAGCCAAAGTGACTTCAGACTCAGTTTTATAAAACTGAGCGTGAAACAATTATTCCAGTTGTTGCCATGTTTGAACAGAGTTCGCTGGCAAGTTGATGAACCATGAGAAAGCTACTCCTATTAACGAACTAGGGAAAAGTCTCATTTTATGGTAATCGGTTACATCACCACTTTGCAACGTGAATCGCCCTATGTGTTCTAGAGTAGACACCTCTCCTAAATCGGTAAACAGTGAGAATTCTGGCACTTTGTACCCTCTAGGCCATGGATATGCTTGGTCTACCCAATCAGGATATGGTTTTGTGTACGTCGGCCTAATGACAGGACGCACCCCAAAAGCCATCTGATCGTGTACGATTTTCATAATCTGGCTCCTCAACATGACATTGGGATCATATGAAATTCCTACAGGCTGATTAACCGATTGATTTGCACGAGGTCTGATGTTTGGTCCTTGATTGGCAACAAAGTTACCATAATTAGGGCCACTACCATTAGCCTGGACATCTGTTCCCTCATTACCACGTGGAATATTCTGTCCATTGTCTAGGACATTATCTCTCGTGTTTGGATTATCCCCCAAGTTAGGCGTGCCACTACCATTGTTTTGATTTGGCACTGTAGTACCCCCTTGGTTTGAAGTAGAGGGACCAGAAAGCGGTTCTACCCCTTGATTCGGATTTAGGACAGAGGGATTATGTCCCACAATTGTCCTGGTTTGAAAGTGGTTTGTAAGAGGTATAGCCGGTTGACATATTTGGCCTACTAACTTATTCATTGTTTCGTTTAACGTCTTTAGCTGTTTGGCCATATTGTCATAGTGTGCATTTCCATTTTGTGTAAATCTTTCCATATTATGAATACTTCGAAAATTTACCTGTTCAACGACGTCTTGCGTGAGTTCTCCAAGCAATGCACGCATGGTTCGAGGACTCAACTCCGTCATTGGTTCGTAACGACTGTTACTGCTCTGATTTTGTCCATCTGTTCGTGGAGAGGCATGCTGCTCCTCATATCGCTCGATTACAGACTGGATTACTCCCTGACTTGCTCCTTCCTTGTCGGATCTCTGAGACATATTGTTTCATCTTTTGTACTTTCAACACCTAACACCACTGTCCCACCGGGCGTGCCAAATTGTTTCGCGCGGGTTAAGTCGCTAACAATTAAAAAGGATCAGACGATTGTGTAAGGGACAAACCTCTTGAGACAAAGTCCCAAAAAGGGGTGTTCTTTTATTGGCGATGAACTTTACAATTGGAAATGAAAAACAACGTGCCTTCAAGGGGCGCAAGCACTCGAGTTACAGAAAGAAAAGTATTTAAGTCTAAAAGCTAAGGAAATGAAAATTACATATTCTCTGTTCGAGAGTTTTTTGATTCGATCCTTTGCTTCTACGTCCTTTCTCCCTTTTATACTTCATAGACGATCTTTTTGTGATTAACTACTCTAAAAACTGTTTGATCGTCCTATAACTACCCACTTTCTTTGTAGTGGCCATTTTGTCATGAAACTGCCTTTTAACTGCTGCCATTATCTTTCATCGTTCAACCGCTTTCGATTGAATTCCTTGAGTTGTGGAACGTGATAAGGCTACTTCAACAACTGCCTTGATAACTGCATTTCTTGATAACCACGATGCGTTATGTTTGTTGATACCTTGGGCGACTTGAAGGTTTGGGCGAGAGTAGAATAACAGCTCTGGGCGACCGTATGACACTCTATTCGTTCAGATTCTGGGCGACTTGCAAATTTGGGCGATGGCGTTACCGTATTCTTGGGCCCCTTATTTGGGCCTTAGTGATTGAAAAAGAAGGAAAAATTTTCAATTTACGTGTAATATTATTTTATGAAAAATTGTGTGGTTGAAAATAGAAAAGAAAAAAATAGAATGTAATGAAATGTAATTTAATGAGAATCAAACAGGGGCAAAGCAACCAAACTAATATTGCTTCACAGCTCAACAATACTCCATTTTTTTTTTTTTTAAATTGTTCTTTGAATTACGAAATTATTTACAGAATCAAAGTTAGTATTTAAAATTCATTTTTACCCACGAAAACTTGTGGGGGTCTGTAAATGGCAAATATCTCATAATTCTATGGCCTTTTTTGTAAATTGGAAGAGATAAAAGAAGAACAAAAGCCGTTCTCCTTCCTTCCATCTTCATCCTCTGTGTTGTCGTCTTCGGGTCAGGACAAAATCAGATCTGAATTTTTCATCTGCTAAATCAATCCATTCAAAACAGAACATAAAACCTCAAACACGGCGTCGTCTCTGCGTACTAGCTCAGAAACCATCAGATCCAATAATGTATTCCAAAATTTTACTCTTAGTGATTCCTGCTTCTATTCATTTTTCAATTTTCTTTAGCTAAGAAGAGGAACATTCTGAATGGATTCCGATGAGCTTCGGGCCATTTTGTCGAGATCGCGAGTGGGGATTTGGGCGCTGATTGACACGGCGATCAAAGTGGCCATTTCTGACTACGCCGAAGATTTGAAGCATCGCAGAGATAAAATCGTTGAGTCGCTCTATTCTTCCCCTTCCAGTAATCAGCTCTGCCAAAACTGCAATAGCAGTATCAACGACGAGGTTCAAGATCACTATTATTCTCATAATAACAATAGCGATAATAACAACGATTATGCTAACGATAACAAAAAAAATAGCATTTTTAGTAATGATATTATAAACGAGGAATTTAGTAAGAGCCCGTTGACTCCTGAGTCAAATAATCGGAATTCTACTGGAGGAGAGGAGGAAGAAGAAGATTTGGATCCGTACGGGGGGCTATTTGACGATGAGCAGACTAAAATTCTCAGATTCAAAGAGCAGCTTGAAGACCCTAACCAGGTGAATTCTCTGTTTTATTGAAAATTTGCTTCTTGTGGTCTGCTTTAGTTTGTTGTACATTTCATTTCTGGTTTTTCTTTTTCTTTTGGATGTAGAGTGAAGAATATGTTGTGGAATTGCTGCAAAATCTGGCAGATATGGATATTACTTTCCAAGCGCTGAAGGTGGAAATGATAAGTTTTCCAGCTAATTTATTTAATCTTTTGACATTATTCTTATTACATTTTTGGGTTTGAATATATGGAGCAGGAAACTGATATAGGAAGGTATGTCAATGGATTGCGGAAGTATCCTTCAAATGAAGTGCGCAGATTGGTGAAGGAGCTTGTCAGGTATTTGCATTTATACGAGATTAACTGACGCGGTTGAAGTTTTATATTTTATTTCATCATATAGCATTAAATCTCCTCTTCATTTCTTATAATTTCATCTTGATGTTTAGGAAATGGAAGGAAACTGTGGATGAGTGGGTGAAGGAGAACAATCCGGAAGCATCTTCAAACCTGATTGGTAATATTTGATAAATAGACCAAATTTTGACCAAATTTTTTTAATGCTTTTCCTTTTCACCCTATCTGGCGTTTGTAATGTTACACACGTTAATATTAGTTAATTTGAATGAGAGTAATAAGTAAAGAAGAGGTTTGTATATTGATAATTATGGTGGTGGTGGCAGCTGATGGGGACTCACCTCAGCAGAACATGTCCAAAAATCAACACAATGGCCATCACCAGGTGAAAACCAAATGTTGTTCCAATCAATTTGTTTTCCTGTTGGAAAAAAATGAGTGAAAAAAGAAGGCGTTACCGTATTCTTGGGCCCCTTATTTGGGCCTTTACCTTGATTCGTTTGATTGGATTTCGTTTTTTGGGCTATCTAATTTGGGGATCCTCCAATTGGACTTTATTCCTTGGGCTGTTTGATTTGGGCTGAATTTTTATGTGTCAACAAAACTAATATTGCTTCACAGCTCACCAGTACTCCCTTTTTTTTTTAAATTGTTCTTTGAATTACGAAATTAATTGTGAAATTATTTACAGAATCAAAGTTAGTATTTAAAATTCATTTTTACCCACGAAAACTTGTGGGGGTCTGTAAATGGCAAATATCAGGGAAAAAAGAAGCAAAGTTGGTATGAATACAATTTCGAAATTCTAAAATTCTGTTTTTACAGGTGCCGGATTTCGGTTACTCTCCAAATCCACGGAGCGAATGTATGAATCAGATTCTGAAATTTGCAGTTGGTAATTTTTTGTTGGTTTCTTCGTTGTGCATTTGGTTAATGTTGGTCAGGACAAAATCAGATCTGAATTTTTCATCTGCTAAATCAATCCATTCAAAACAGAACATAAAACCTCAAACACGGCGTCGTCTCTACGTACTAACTCAGAAACCATCAGATCCAATAATGTATTCCAAAATTTTACTCTTAGTGATTCCTGTTTCTATTCATTTTTCAATTTTCTTTAGCTAAGAAGAGGAACTTTCTGAATGGATTCCGATGAGCTTCGGGCGATTTTGTCGAGATCGCGAGTGGGGATTTGGGCGCTGATTGACACGGCGATCAAAGTGGCCATTTCTGACTACGCCGAAGATTTGAAGCATCGCAGAGATAAAATCGTTGAGTCGCTCTATTCTTCCCCTTCCAGTAATCAGCTCTGCCAAAACTGCAATAGCAGTATCAACGACGAGGTTCAAGATCACTATTATTCTCATAATAACAATAGCGATAATAACAACGATTATGCTAACGGTAACAAAAAAAATAGCATTTTTAGTAATGATATTACAAACGAGGAATTTAGTAAGAGCCCGTTGACTCCTGAGTCAAATAATCGGAATTCTACTGGAGGAGAGGAGGAAGAAGAAGATTTGGATCCGTACGGGGGGCTATTTGACGATGAGCAGACTAAAATTCTCAGATTCAAAGAGCAGCTTGAAGACCCTAACCAGGTGAATTCTCTGTTTTATTGAAAATTTGCTTCTTGTGGTCTGCTTTAGTTTGTTGTACATTTCATTTCTGGTTTTTCTTTTTCTTTTGGATGTAGAGTGAAGAATATGTTGTGGAATTGCTGCAAAATCTGGCAGATATGGATATTACTTTCCAAGCGCTGAAGGTGGAAATGATAAGTTTTCCAGCTAATTTATTTAATCTTTTGACATTATTCTTATTACATTTTTGGGTTTGAATATATGGAGCAGGAAACTGATATAGGAAGGTATGTCAATGGATTGCGGAAGTATCCTTCAAATGAAGTGCGCAGATTGGTGAAGGAGCTTGTCAGGTATTTGCATTTATACGAGATTAACTGACGCGGTTGAAGTTTTATATTTTATTTCATCATATAGCATTAAATCTCCTCTTCATTTCTTATAATTTCATCTTGATGTTTAGGAAATGGAAGGAAACTGTGGATGAGTGGGTGAAGGAGAACAATCCGGAAGCATCTTCAAACCTGATTGGTAATATTTGATAAATAGACCAAATTTTGACCAAATTTTTTTAATGCTTTTCCTTTTCACCCTATCTGGCGTTTGTAATGTTACACACGTTAATATTAGTTAATTTGAATGAGAGTAATAAGTAAAGAAGAGGTTTGTATATTGATAATTATGGTGGTGGTGGCAGCTGATGGGGACTCACCTCAGCAGAACATGTCCAAAAATCAACACAATGGCCATCACCAGGTGAAAACCAAATGTTGTTCCAATCAATTTGTTTTCCTGTTGGAAAAAAATGAGTGAAAAAAGAAGCAAAGTTGGTATGAATACAATTTCGAAATTCTAAAATTCTGTTTTTACAGGTGCCGGATTTCGGTTACTCTCCAAATCCACGGAGCGAATGTATGAATCAGATTCTGAAATTTGCAGTTGGTAATTTTTTGTTGGTTTCTTCGTTGTGCATTTGGTTAATGTTATATATGATCACGTTTTCTCTGTTAGATGGGAAGTCTGGATCAGAAAGGAACAGTTTGGAATACGAACCAAAGTCTAAACCATCTCAATCTGTCTCTTGGAGGGAAACTCCATCGAGACCACCGCAATCAGTTCCTAAATCTGCTTCTGCTACTCCTAATGTACTGACTTCTGAAATCAACTTTTTACACATATAAATGCAATGCCATTGATTTTGTGTGTGTAAAAGTTAGTTTGGTAAAGCATAAAAGTTACTTAAAGTAGCTTTTTTTGCTTAGTCTTTCTAGGAGTGATATATTTTTGGATTTTTTTAGTTGAAGAATATAGTTTTTAACTTTCCAAAAAGAGTAAACTTTTTTCAAGGGCTCTGGCGATTTTGACATTGAATATTGAGGAACATTGGTGGAATCAGCGGCATTGATCTTATTGTGTCATTGTTTAGTCGGCACATGTTCTTAGCTTTATGACCAAGAAGGCAAAATTCTTTGTGTGCACCACTTTTTTTATTTTTATTTTTATTTTATTTTACTTTTTTGGGGGGGGGGGGGTAACAAAAAAAATAGCATTTTTAGTAATGATATTACAAACGAGGAATTTAGTAAGAGCCCGTTGACTCCTGAGTCAAATAATCGGAATTCTACTGGAGGAGAGGAGGAAGAAGAAGATTTGGATCCGTACGGGGGGCTATTTGACGATGAGCAGACTAAAATTCTCAGATTCAAAGAGCAGCTTGAAGACCCTAACCAGGTGAATTCTCTGTTTTATTGAAAATTTGCTTCTTGTGGCGGTGATTTGCAGTTTTTGTGTACCATATATGATATATTGCTCGCGATTTGCTATGTGTGTTTCAGATGAAGGGATATACCAGGAAAGCGTCTGGCCGAACCAAACCTCTGTTACATTATTTTATTGCCCATCTGGGCAGAAATTTAAACATAGAAACTGTTGTTAATCACTGGAATTTTATCTATAATATTAACTAGCTGAAGCTATGCTAAATTTGAGCGCGTCATTTATGAGTGATTAGATTTATTTCTTCTTTTAGGCCCCTTTTCAACTCATAATTTCAAGGCAAGATGTTTTCTTAGATAACGAAGAGCGTTTTCAAGATATTCTCGATTTTTAAAGCGTACATTCTATTATTTGAAGAGCATTTTTAAATTTAGAGAGTTAAAATTATAAAGTACTCGAACAAGCTCTTTATATTTAATATTTAATTTTATTACTTTCAAAAAATATTTATTATTTTTCATCATCTTTTATTTTAACTAGTTATTATTATTATTATTATTATTTAATCTATATTGAAATTTGAAATACTTTGAATTTTATTTTAAAGAGTGAGTTTGACTTTTTAAATTTAGACACACTAAAGCTCTAACTGACCCCGCCCATACTTAACTTTTCAACTCATAGCTTAAACTCTCAAACTAGAGCTATAGACTGAATACTATTTAATAGTATTCAGCTAAAGGTTAAACGCCCTAGAAGGGCGCTAAATCGCTCTCTAACAAGAGTTTATATAGATGTAAGCTTCTACCCTTAAGAGTTCCTTTAAAGGGCTTAAAAGCCCAATAAAGTATTTGTTACCCAGGTGGTGAATCAGAGGGAGCTAGGCAGCCCTCGCCCCGGGGGCTCTTATAGACTGAATACTATTTAATAGTATTCAGGTAAAGGTTAAGCGCCCTTCGGCCAAACCCATTCTTTAAATTAAATTGTTAATTTAAAAATTCTCTTGAAGTATGATTTTAAGGGTCGGTCCTTAAAATAGAGAACCTATAGATGCTCTAACTCTACTTTTGAACCTTTCAATAAAAAATTTGCACGTAAAGTCATAAAATTTTTCATCTTTTAATCATACATTCATAAAAAAAAAATCACTTTTTATGATACAATCATGTTACATGCATATTATTTTTGACATTGTGTCATATGGTAAAACACCATTGGACAATTTTAAAAAAATAGGGAAAAATTCATTTATAAGAGGGTAAGTATACCCCTTTTCAAAATTAAGAAAAATGGTTTAAAATTTCAAAAATCAGATTTTTATAAATTATTTATAAATTAATTTGTTAAATATATATTTTATTAATTAAATATACTTAGGTCCCAATTTTTTGTCACAGTTATCTAATAAATCAGTCACGAATTAATTTTTAGTCACAAATTATCAAATTATTGGTCGTAACTTATTTTTCGGTCACAAATCGAAAATTTTATATGTTGCAAAATATTTTTCAATCACAAATTCAAAATTTTTATAAGTCACAGATTTAAAATTTTTATTGCTCTTGTTTGAGCTTCATTTTTTTTGGGAAGAATGAATTTTTGAATAATGTATTGATGAGAAATGTGTGGTTAAAAAATAAGAAAAAATTTTGGATTTGCGTGTGATATTATTTTATTGAAAAATGTGTGGTTGAAATGATGTTAAAACAATGTTAAAAAATGTATTTTTTCAAAAGAAGGGGGCTCAAACATGGGCATTAATTACAACTCATTTACTCATTACAAATTATTGGATTAATTGGTCACAATTAATTTTTCGATCACAATTTAATCAATAGTTATTTACAATCGAAAGTTACAGTCACAATTTTCAGGTCACGACTAATTTTTTGATCACCCTTTAATCAATTGTGAGTCACAATCAAGGGTCACAGTCACAATTTTCAGCTCACATATCCAATTATTAATCAAATCAACTAAATAATTGGTCACAAGTATTCAATCCCATCTCACCCCTGACTACCGCCACCACATAAACACCAAATTTGCTGAGATTCACCACCACTGCTAACATCTCCACCATCGTTGCCAACATCACAACCACACCACCCAAACATCACCAAAGCCATACCACAACTGCCGCCGCAACCACCCAATCTGATTTCATCTCCCAGTCACAATTTAATCAATAGTTATTTACAATCGAAAGTTACAGTCACAATTTTCAAGTCACGACTAATTTTTTGATCACCCTTTAATCAATTGTGAGTCACAATCAAGGGTCACAGTCACAATTTTCAGCTCACATATCCAATTATTAATCAAATCAACTAAATAATTGGTCACAAGTATTCAATCCCATCTCACCCCTGACTACCGCGACCACATAAACACCAAATTTGCTGAGATTCACCACCATTGCTAACATCTCCACCATCGTTGCCAACATCACAACCACACCACCCAAACATCACCAAAGCCATACCACAACTGCCGCCGCAACCACCCAATCTGATTTCATCTCCCAGATCACCGCCGATTTCGTCGCTATAGCAGATCCTAGATCTTGTCGACACCATTGCAAAATAGATCCAAAACCACCATCACTATCCACCACACCTGCACCGCATCCAACAAAAAAATAAAAATAAAAAATCAACTACAACAACCATCGCACCTCACGCCACCGTTGTTGCACACGCACCACACCTACGCACACACTGATGCTGCAGTAGTTGTCGCGACGCTACTGCGAATGGTAGTGTCGACGAACAGCATCGTCGCGATGCTACCGTTCGCAGCAGCATCGGTCGACGACGCTGCAGTGACACTCGACAACCTCCATTCCAGCAGCACGGGCCGGAGCAGCTCCTCCTTCTTCCATCGCCAACGGTTTTGAGAGAGAAGACATGGGAAACGAAGAGAGGAAAGCAGCTCTTCCATCCTCCGTCATCGGCGATTTTGAGAGAGAAGACATGGGCACGAAGAGAGAGAAAATGAAATTCAAATCAGATTAGGGTTTGGAATATATAAATAGATTGAAAGAATTCTGATTTTTGAAATGTTAAAACATTGGTATGCTTTTAGAAAAGTGGATTTTTACTGTAGGATTTTGTGTAATTTTCACAAAAAAATATACCTTTATGCCCACAATTTTTTGAACTCCAATGGAATGTAAACAATGATATCAACCAAACAATGTACATTGGGCTATGCTTGCTGTGCACAGCAAGGGGTATAGCCCCCTCATGTGAGGGCTATAAATAGGGGCATATCTAGGGTTGGGCTGTGCTAGAGCCCATCCACTCAGTCCAAATGCTAATTAAAAAGAAAGATTTAAGAAAAAAATTATGTTTGATTTTTTGTTTTTATAATTTTTTTTCGGCATGTGCGTGTCGAATAATTTCCTGGATCCACCACCGGTTGTAAAAATGTACAGTACTATCATTTAGAATTTTCCATGTACATTTAGCATTATTCCTTAAATCATGCTATAGTAACATAATAGTTGATATAATGTCACATGGTATCATAGTATTAGAGTGTTTAAAATACAGTATACTTTTTCCATCAATTTATATCTTGTCAACACTCATTTTGTCAAAGCATACGTCAACATTTTTCGATCAAAGTGGCTTTACCCTTATTCTTTACAATATATTTTCTCATAAATTGTCTCAAAGTAGGCTAATTTCATGTGACTTGGAATCTAATAAATCATAGTCCGTGTTTGGCTAAGCTTAAAGAGGTAAGCAACATGAATTGAAGAGAAGATTTTTATTTTTTTTATTTTTAATTTCATTTTTAGGGCATCTCGAAAGGAGATACATCAAAATGCACCAAATTTTGGTACAAAAGGTCTTCAATGTAGTACCAAAATTTGCACTATTCTGGTGTAACATTATTCGCTTAGCACCATTTTTGCATCAAATGGCGCAAAGTCAATTTTACCATTTTTACATTTGTCAAACACGTTAATGAAGGATATTTTGTCATTTTTGTTATATATTTTTTAATATGATAAATTATTATTATTATTACTACTACTACTACTACTACTACTACTACTATTATGATTTTATGTGCATTTAAAATAAATTCTAATAATGTAAAAAATAATAATTAATGAGTATAAAATAAGAATACAAAAAAGAAAAAAAGTTAAATATCACAACACGATTGTTTAAAGTTAACACGAAATATATTACAACACCCACATACATACATCACTCTAGTATTATTTAAAGAAAAATCAACACTCATTTTGTCAAAGCATACGTCAACATTTTTCGATCAAAGTGGCTTTACCCTTATTCTTTACAATATATTTTCTCAGAAATTGTCTCAAAGTAGGCTAATTTCATGTGACTTGGAATCTAATAAATCATAGTCCGTGTTTGGCTAAGCTTAAAGAGGTAAGCAACATGAATTGAAGAGAAGATTTTTATTTTTTTTATTTTTAATTTCATTTTTAGGGCATCTCGAAAGGAGATACATCAAAATGCACCAAATTTTGGTACAAAAGGTCTTCAATGTAGTACCAAAATTTGCACTATTCTGGTGTAACATTATTCGCTTAGCACCATTTTTGCATCAAATGGCGCAAAGTCAATTTTACCATTTTTACATTTGTCAAACACGTTAATGAAGGATATTTTGTCATTTTTGTTATATATTTTTTAATATGATAAATTATTATTATTATTATTACTACTACTACTACTACTACTACTACTATTATGATTTTATGTGCATTTAAAATAAATTCTAATAATGTAA